GAACTCCTGCCTATGAGCTTGGACTTTCACGTAAGAGAGAAGTAAACTTTCCTTGTTTAGCCACTTGGTCTCTGAGAAAGCAACCAATGGATATCTTATTAACACACACCCATGTTCCTCTACTTGAAAGCGAACTTAGTTCTTCTTGGCTGTTTGACCTGCCATATACACCTAAGAATTAACTTGTCCGCTCTCTGAAAATTCCTGATGGGATTTAGATTAGGGCTGCATTGAATTCATAGATCAATTTGGGGCACCCTGTGAATTTAAACATACTGCATATTTCTACCCATAAAATTATTTATCTCTTCATTTACATATCTTCTTTTATGTCTATATATAAATCTTTTTAACTTTCTGTATAAAAGTCATTAACAACTTTTGTTCATTTTGTTCCTGTGTCTTTACAGATTTCATAACACTCTAAAAGAGATCTTATTTTATTGCATTTCCTAATAATTTGTTGCCTATTATACAGGAATATGACAGTGTCAGTCACTCAGTCGTGTGACTCTTTGCAACCTCACGGACTGTAGCCCTCCAGGTTCCTCCGTCCATGGGATTCTCCAGGCAAGAAAACTGGAGTGGGGTGCCATTCCCTTTTCCAGGGGATCTTCCTGACCCAGGGATCAAAGCTGGTCTCCTGCATTATGGGCAGATTCCTTACCATCTGAGCGACCAGGGAAGCCCTTATAGGAAAGTAGTAGATTTTTATAAAGTGATCTTTTAAAAGCTGGCTTAAAACTCAACATTCGAAAAACTAAGATCATAGCATCCAGTCCCATCACTTCACGGCAAATAGATGAGGGAAAAAATGAAAACAGTTACAGGCTTTATTTTCCTGGGCTCCAAAATCACTGTGGACGGTGACTTCAGCCATGAAATTAAAAAATGCTTGCTCCTTGGAAGAAAAGCTATGACAAACTTAGCATATTAAAAAGCAGAGACATCACTTTGCTAACAAAGGCCCATATAGTCAAAGCTATGGTTTTTCCAGTAGTCATGTATGGATGTGAGAGTTGGACTATAAAGAAGGCTGAACACTGAAAAAATGATGATTTTGAAATGTGGTCCTGGAGAAGACTCCTAAGAGTCCTTTGGACAGCAAGGAAATCAAACCAGTCAATTCTAAAGGAAATCAATCCCAAATAGTCACTGGAAGGACTGATGCTAAAGCTGAAGCTCCGATACTTTGGTTACTTGATATGAAGAGTGGACTCAGTGGAAAGACCCTGATGCTGAAAAAGACTGAGGGCAGGAGGAGAAGGAGACAACAAAGGATGAGATGGCTGGATGGCATCACTGACTCAATGGACATGACTTTGAGCAAACTCCAGGAGATGGTGAAGAACAGGGAAGCCTGGTGTGCTGCGGTCCATGGGGTCACAAGGAGTCAGCCATGACTTAGCAACAACATGACAGAACAACAACAACAATTACACAGGAAACAGAACTTGTAAACAACAAACCTGGATATTCAGCTTATGAGATTTTCAAGCAAAGTGCTAAAGGTAGCAGCTTGGTGTCTTCATGATGCTATGGTTAAATTTGAGAGGAATGAGACAAAGTCAGGGAAGAATCATTAAGCAAAAAGAAACCAGTACCCGATGACTTGGAAAACCCCGCAGCCCGTCTAGGCTGCAAATGATGCTAACATCAGGGGCTCGGTGTCAAGAAACCATGCTCTGAGACAAAGCCAAGGTGGGACTAGACCACCTTTTGCCGGTGCCTCAAACAGAACAAAGGGTCACAATGGTCAGTGGCTCTGAGCGCTCTCTGAAGAAATCAGACATGTGACTGAAAGATCTCAGCCACTCCAGCAGAAGCCAGAAACAGAGATAGAAACATCCAGAAAAGACTATGCAGGGGCGTCCTGTCTAAAGAATGAGCCCCGCCCCGATATACAGGGAAGACTCTCGAGGATCTTTCCTGAGACTACTATGCCAGCAGAAACACCACCACGTTAGACTGAAAGGGACAAGAGGACAAAATGAAAGAAGAGTGACAGACTAACATTCTACAGGTGGCAAACAGTCTGATGAAAATACTCAGGTGCAAATATACACGACCCTTCTGGAAAAAGGAAGGATGACTCCAAGGACAGAGTCTTAAACCTGGGAGTGGAGACTCAGACGTCAGGGCCAAGAGCCACAGAGTGTTATTTCCAGGTCTTGAAATCTAAAATATTTTTCCCAATTGAGTTTCAAAATTGCTTGGCATCAGTGACTCCTCTGTTCCTTCCACTTTCCTACTTTTGGAATGGAAATGTCTGTAACTGTTACCCTGTTCCATCACTGTGTTTGAAGAGCAGGTAATATATTTGCTAGTTTCACACGTCTACAGATGGAGAGGAGTTCTGAACCAGGACAGATGGTATCAGGAGTTTCACCCATACCTGATATAAATGATTTAGATGATGGGACTTCTAAGTTGAAAATATTTAGATGATATTTTGATGATTTATGGGGTTCCCTCATGGCTCAGCTGGTCAAGAATCCACCCACACTGTGGGAGACCTGGGTTTGATCCCTGGGTTGGGAAGATCCCCTGGAGAAGGGAACAGCTACCCACTCCAGTATCCCAGCCTGGAGAATTCCATGGACTGTATAGTCCATGGGGTAGCAAAGAGTCAGACATGACTGAGCGACTTTCACTTTCACTTTGATGATTTACATGGTAAGACGTCTGAGTTAATGTTATAATGTAAGGCTTTGTAGATCAGGGTAAGGACTTTGATTTTATTTTAGGTATAGAGGGAATCCAGAGAAGAATTCCAACCAGCAAAGTGATATGACCTAACTCACATCTAAAAGATCACTGATGTGTACTGTAGGGACATTAAGAGTGGAAATGATGGAACCTGTTAGGAAACCGTCACAGTAGTGTAGGCAAGAGAAGATAAGGACCCAGACTACAATGGTAACAGCAGGATGGAGGAACAGAGGACAGATTCAAAAATGTATTCTGAAGGCAGAATTGTCAGAAGTTGCTAATAATAAAAAAATCAATGCAGAAGATAAAAGAATGAGAGAAATATGTATGATTCCTAAGCTGGGACTTGGCCATGTGAGTAGACTGTCCTATTCAGCAGCTGAGATGGAGAAGACTGAGGAAGCTACAGATTCATGTGAGAAAACCAAGATCTGCATTTTAGACACACCACGTTTTTATTCTAACAGACATGCAGATAGAAATATAAAGTAAGCACTTTGATGTAAGAGGAGGGAACTCAAGGGCAGTTCAGAGCCAGATTTATAAATCTGCATGGCATTGAAAACAAAAGGACCAGGAGTTACCTGGTGGTCCAGTGGTTAGGACTCCATGCTTTTACTGCCAAGGACATGGATTCAGTCTCTGGTGAGGGAACTAAGATCCCACAAGCTACATGGCATGGTCAAAAAAACAAACAAACAAACCACCAGAACCAAATTATATGTTTTGGTTGGTATAACCAACCACCTACTCTAAAGAAAGAATAGGTGGAAAAAGAAGCAAGCCCAAGACCAAAGCCTAATACATTCTAATATTTAGAGGTTTGACAGAGGAAAGAAGCTAGCAGACAGAGAAGAACAGCAAAACAGGTGAAAACAAGTTGAACACGGTGTTAGAGATGTCTTCTCACCAGGACCATTGACACTAATTATTTGTCCTGACATAGCCTTCATAGGCTCTACTCTACGAAAGTCCAGTTTAAAATGCAAAACTTCCAGCTCTGAGCATTCATTTTAAAAATATTCACATGCTTAGAAAACACCCCCTAGAAGAGGACCCAGTCCTGAATGCTGAGGGGAAACACAGAGATCCAGGAGCTTTTCCATGGTATGGCCACACGGAAATAAAAAAATTTTAACTTTAATCACAGATTTCAAATTCTACAGAAAATTAGAAGAAGTGACAATTCTGGACTAATCTAGAGAAATCTGGGCAAGGCATAGTCCAAGAACCACTGGGACAGGAATGGAGGTAGCAATAAAGAACAGCAAGAAGGACCACATTAAAAAGGTGAGTTCAGACCAACATCTAACACTACCAACACTATTTTCTCCACTGTAGCTGCCTGTTCCCCCTGCAGCCACAAGAAGCCCTTTATACGTTTTGTTTTCCTACCCTCTGGCTATCTCTACTGTGGTCTTGATTCTCTCTTCACCTGCCCACGGCTTTTTTATTCCAATTGATTGTACAGTGTCTTTTGCTGTTCAAATAAATTCTGTGTTTTAAAAAGTTTTTGTGGGACAAGGTAATACCTATAAAACTATTTAAAATATTTTTAGTACATCTGGATTAACATGTTACGGGTGAAGACTAAAAATGTTTACACAGAGGAAGCAAACAAGGCTAATTTGTCCCCCTCTCCCCCATTTTAGATAAGAGGCGCAAGTCAACAGTGGTTATAGCACTGAAAACCACAATGCTAAATCTGAGGTTTCAGGGAGCTGACTTCAATTCTCTCCTTTATGGTACCAGATACACAGATATATTACACCTTAATAAAGGAAGAGGCTATTTTTAAATGAACAGCAATCAAAGCTAGTGACACATAGATAAGCTAGTGTGATTATGTCAAATTCACCTAAAAGAGATTTCAACCCTTTTATTCAACTTGAAAGAAGCTGAGGCTTTTCAGACCTGCGGAAGACTCCCTGACAGTACACTGACATTTCCCGGTATGCCAGTCATACCCATGTGCCACAAATACTGACAAGGCCTCAAGCCTCCTCAGGGTGAAATACGAAGGCGGGAAGCACTGCTACTTGGCCAGACTCGGGAGGGCCAACTCGGTTTTCAAGAAAGATGAAAGAAAAAGACAGTGCCCCAAATTTAAAAAGAGAAAAGAACAGTACATTTATGATGATTTCTCCTCCCCAGGCATACCTTCTCCTTTCGGCATACCCTTTCACAGATGTGATCGCTTTTGAGGGTGGGGACTCCCAAGGTTCTCCTGATTCTTTCCCATCTACCAAACACCTGACTCCTTGCCTCCCACCTAATAACTGAATTACCTTTCCTGGGGCCACCTCGTTCAACCACCCGGTTGTCAGGTGGCTCCTTATAAGGAAGCACAGACAGCTGTTGGTGCCAAAAGATGTTGTGGTCTTTGGACATGATCCCGATGGGAATCGCAACCAACTCCTCACATCCCTCTGATGGGGCACAGTAATAGAACAGAAGTCAATGGGAGGTCAGCATGCACTCAGACTCCAGATTCTGAAAGGGAACAAAAATCAAACCCTCCATTCTGCGCCTCTTCACCACGTCTGACAACCAATAGGCAAGAAAGCGGGCTTTACCAGCCCATGAAAATGAAATAGAAAGTAACAACTCTCAATAACCACATAATAAGCAGTCTGCACTTTATGAAAGGTTAAGTCCACAATACAAATAAGTAATATTAATATTTATTACATTTTATACTTTCTAAGTCCCAATTATCTACCATTGTACTAAAATGCATCAGGGGATCGGGATGGGGAACACATGTAAATCCATGGCTGATTCACGTCAATGTATGGCAAAAACCACTATAATATTGTAAAGTAATTAGCCTCCAACTAATAAAAATAAATGGAAAAAATAAAATAAAAACAGGTCATAACCTGAGTCTGACTGTTACAAAGAACTGCTGTAAATTAGCTTCTAGAAATGGGCTCAGAAAAACGTTTCCTAACTTTTCTCTTCAAACTTTACTATACAAATATGCTAACCTGATACATAGCACCTTCCTGAACCCATAAGCTAAGATCTTATAAAATCTTGGAATAAGGAAGGTTCATTCAAGTGTATTATTTTAAATGGCAAGCTTCTCAAGAGCAGACATCATAGCACCACTTCCTAAACACCTCTTTACATGATCCAGAAGGAAACACTGCAAGGAAGGAGCCACTTTTGTATCTGAGCCTTAATTTATACAGATAAGTTATTACGGAAGGGTCAATGCTATAAAGGCGATATTTATGTTTTACAACGTATATTCTGATTCTTTCTCCATTCTCCAGCTACCCACTCTTCTAAGTCTACAAGACAAATTTTATAAATAGCATGATGATAAAACAAATGTAACCCAAAAAATTACTTTATCTTATTATAAAAAAATTACATTTGTTATCATAAGAGTAGTATTATTTTTAAAAATAGGTATTTTAAAATAGGTATTTCCTTCACTCTGAAACATAGCACCACTGCCTTAAATGAATGTAAGCTGAATGAAATTCTGTAGTGTTCTATATATGCATAAATAACCTTACAATTATGCTGAAAATTATGTTTAAACTTTATATAATAAAAATGTTAAATGATTTCATCATCTTGGCTCACTACAGAAGCTTATTATAAACAGTTAAGTTATAAGAAACAGAACTATCTTACAGCCATAACATGAGAAATAAAAACTATGATATCCACTGAAAAAAGTAGGTCATTCAGGAAGCAAGCTAAAAAACTAGAAAACAGTATTTCTATCACTAAAGTAGGTTAGAGCTACATTCTAACATGTCTGTAACAATGCCACTGCCTCTTTATTATCAACAATATAGACTAATCACTGGTTATCAGGAAGACAGACTTAGCAAGAAACGCTGAACATAAAGTTATGATAATAAACAAATTATTACTCAGCAAAACTTAGTATAAATACAGTGAGACTTTATCAAAGGGGATATTACCAATGAGTAATCACTGATTACTGGCTAAAGGGGCAAAATGAACTATACCTACAAAATATACTTTATACAAAATATACTTTATCTTTAAAAATGAGAAATTAGTCAAATGACTGCTGGAAGGGGAAGCTTTACCAAGTTATAAGAAGTAACTATTTTCAAGAAGTTTAGAAGAACCATGTCATACAACACAACTATAATATACATTGACACCATCACTGATATTTTCATAGGCTACTTAGAAATAGTCCTTATATAGTCATTAAGACCTATTGTCAAAAAGGTAACACTTCTAACTTAAAAGATACACACATAATTCACGAAACAGTCTTTCGTGCCTATAACTGAAACCAGACTTCCCACATATGTAATATAGATTTGTTTGGTTTTACTATACACATCTAGTCTTCAACATAACTATATCATTTTGTACAAGGCTTAATATAACAATAAAAACTACTGTAGTCTAAGACTTTTCTCAAAACTGCAAATGACAATGAAAGCTAACTCAAAGAACTTTATAAATGAAAAGTTAAGTCAAATAACTACTGTATTTTAAATTTATAGAGTCAACCAATAATTACACTTGCCAAAGTATGCACAAAAATCACATAATTAGGAAAAGCAAGTAATACTGAGCTCTACTATTCCTGATATTTGTTCTGAAAATTCTAACCAACAAGTGAGATTTCACTGATGTGTAACTCAAAGGCAATCACTATTATTACTGAAATAAAAAGATAGGTAAATGCCAGACCAAAAAAGTAAAATTGAAGGAAAAAAACTTTCAAAGTACAAAAGAAAAGTTAAATAAACCTTATTACATTATCAAATACAAAAATCACTATTTTTTTAATCCCCAATCCTTCCTAAGGCCAGAAAGAGTATAAGGAAAAAAATATGCATTGCACAGGTTAAATGTATATTTTTAATGTACATGTTTGGGAATCAAAAGGTTTAAATAGTTCTTCCATCTGAGATATAGCAAACTGTGTACAAATGTTATACCTTTTAAAAATTTTTCTAAAAGCAAATCTGAAAAGTTACAAGAGAAATGTCAAATTTGTAAGCACTGGAGGCACATCTTGACTTAAATATGGAGATATGGAGGTAATCCAAAAGTGGTCTACTGATTTTTTAGTTATAAGGCACAAGAGAAATGATTATTGTCTTTAAAAATTTCAGCTTTCTAAGGTATAATTGATACATAAAATTTTAAGATATTTAAAGTGTATACCATTATGATAACCAACTACATATATCCAATATATAGGAGAATAATTATTTTTTATTTGTTTTTATTGAGATAAATGACCATACAACACTGTGTAAGTTTAAGGTAGACAATGTGCTGATCTGATACTCTACACGGTAAGATTTTCACTTTAGTGTGAGCTAATACCACTAACATGTCGCATGATTCTTTTTGTTTTGGGGGAAGGAACACTTAAGATCTAGTCTCTAAGCAACTTTGAAGTGTATATACATTACAGCCCTTGCTGAGTATTTGANTCATCACTCTGAATATGGTTACCATCCTTCATCATATAGTTGACCTCCTTCTTCACTTATTTCACCCTCCTCCCAACCCCCTTCCCCTCTGGTAGCAACTAATCTGATCTCTGTACCTGTGAGTTTGTTTTTATTTTTTATTTTTTTAGATTTCACAGATTAGTGAAATCCATGGTATTTGTCTTTCTGCACCTCAATTATTTCACTAAGCATAATGCCCTCAAGGTCCATTCATGTTGTCACAAATGGCAGGATTTCATTCTTTTTTTGTGGCTGAGTAATATTCCATTGTGTACATATACCATATCTTCTTTATCTATTCATCTGTTTGTGGGCACTTATCTTGTTTCTGTATTGTGGCTATCGTATGTATCTTCTTAGATTCATGTTTTCATCTTCTTTGAATAAATACCCAGAAGTGGAAGAGCTGGATCATATGATAGTTCTATTGTTAATTTTTTGAGACTCTCCATACTGTTTTCCAAGGTTGCTACACCAATTTACATTCCCACCAACAGTGTACAAAGGTTCCCTTTTCTCCACATCTTCTCCAGCATTTGTTATTTCTGGTCTTTTTGATGATAGTCATTCAGACAGGTATGAAACTGGAAAGCCACAAGCAAAAGAAAGAACTGGAGCACTGTCTTTTTCTAGACATAAAAATTAACTCAAAACAGATTAAAGGCTTGAATATAAAACCTGAAACCATAACATTCCTAGAAGCAGACACAAATGATACCCTCACTGATACCAGTCTTGGTGGTGTTTTTGTGGGTCTCACTCCACAGGCAAGGGCAACAAGAACCAAAATAAACAATTGGGACTACCTCAAACGAAAAAGACTCTGCACGGTAAAGGAAACCATGATCAAACCCCAAAGGCAACCTACTGAATGGGAGAATATATTTACAAATCATTTATCTGATCATGATTAATAACCAAAAGTATATAAAGAACTCAGGCAGCTCAATAACAAAAAACAATCTGATTTTCAAAATGGGTAAAGGACCTAAAGAGACTTTTTTTACCCAAAAGACATACAGATGGCCAAGAGGCACATGAAAAGATGCTTGGCATCACTAATCATCAAGGAAATGCAGATCAGAACCACAGTGAGATAAAGTTACCTTTTTCAATATTTTAGTGCCCATAAGACACATATGCTTGTTTACGGAAAAGGGGGCAGTTATCAGGTGAGACACAGAAATGGCAAAATCTGTGATGTTGGGGGAAACAAGTTTCCTCCAACCTTGAGAGCTGCAAGGGGCTTCTGTGCTCCAAGACCAAACCAGAGACCATCTTTAGCCTGTACTCCCTGCAGGTTCTGGGGTCTCGCTTTTGGTTGAGGCCTTAGGACAGACTGTCTCAGTGTAATGTCATTTGTGTGGAAATGCCTAGTTAAAACAGCTCTTAATGTCATTACTCTTCATGACTAAGGCAATTATGTACTTTAAATTCCATTTTGCTTGTTTCTTTTTAAATAGGCAAGTCAGAATGGAATGGGCTCTGTTGATACTGAAGTTCAGTGCTAATTACAGTCACATGTTTGTTAGTGTTGTCCTGGGCCTGCCAGGAAGTGCACACGATGCTGGCGTGCCATCTACACCCCGAGACCGGGTGCAGTCCTGCCCCTCCATTTGCCTGCAAGGGCAATAAAAAGCAAAAGAGACTACAAATGTGTTTGGCAAGGGCTTCAGAAATTGCTGTGAAACTCAGACTCTCAGCTACAGCATATGGATCTTGATAGCGTCTGTTTCACTCTGATCTCCTGGCAGACCCAGACCCTGGAAGGTAGCTAATATGCTCCTTTTGTCCTGCAGAAAGAGAAATGATGTTGCTGATGTGGCTGTGCTCTCAGAAAAGTCCTTGGGACTTTGCCATATACTATATGCGATTGTGTTTATCAGGACTCTTTTGCTTGTAAATGACAGCAAACCAGCTCAAACTAGCTTAA